GACGTCCACCCCATCTGATTTTAAATATGCTTGTAGTTCTATAACATTATTGGGGGGCCCGGCATGGCCAGGTGGTTACGCCGCTCGACTCGCAATCTGAGGGTCGCGGGTTCGAATCCCTGTCACACCAAACATGCTCGCCCTTTCAGCCGTGGGGGCGTTATAATGTGACGGTCAATCCCACTATTCGTTGGTAAAAGAGTAGCCCAAGAGTTGGCGGCGGGTGGTGATGACTAACTGCCTTCCCTCTAGTCTTACACTGCTAGATTTGGGACGGCTAGCGCAGATAGCCCTGGTGTAGCTTTGCGCGAAATTCAAAAACAAACATTATTGGATACATGGTTTCTAATATCAAAGTACTCATCCAACGTATGTTATTAAAATACCACTAATATTGCACGTAATTCCACCTAATAACTGCTGAGGTCCCCTGTTTACTATGTAAAGAAAATAAGTGATCTCTCCCAATTATTTTTAAGCAATTCTTATATTGAGTGTTGTAAAACAAAAAACACAAAATTGCTCAATATGATGCAATATATGCCCCCCCCCCCCTCTGGTAAGTAAACTAGTTTACAAAACAATCAGTTACGTTTAAGGGTTAACTAGAAGTAAATCACCTGAAGATGTTATACTGTATGATGTGGTGTTTTATAAAGAACAAAAAGGAAACTCTGATCGTTAGTTTGTTCGTTTGTGGGTAAGCACAATGCTATACAACAGGATATCTGTGCTCTGCCGCTGAACGACCGAGGGCGAAAGAGAACCCTTTTCATAATTATGTAGTAAATTATGTTTAAGTATCAATCAAATTTCAAGGTCGACAGCTGTGGTTCTCAACTGTTCTCTATTTTTCTCTGCTCCACCAATTTTCCCAATTAAACTTTTCATCTTCAATCCATTTTCCAATGTCATCTATCCAAGTGAGTCTCTGCTTGCCTCGCATTCTTTCCCTATCGATTTTACCAATCAGAATCTCTGCCTATCTTCCTTCCGATATTTATGTGCCCAAATTGGCGCGTATTCCGTTTCCTAGATACGTTGAGCAGTTTTATTTTATATTTGCACTTTTCAATACCTCTTCACTAATTGTTCTTTCTATGTATATGATCTTCATATTCGATTGACTTGTACTATAAGTACAAGACGATAATGAGAGTAAAAACTCAAAAAATGTTTATCATAATAATTTTGTTAAGGTTTTGTGAGGAGTTAATTCTCACTGTTCTTAAAATTAAGATTAGAAAACAGCGACTATCATTTCAGAGTAGAATAACTATAATAAAATTATAAAAATAACAACAAAGGAACAATAATTTCAATCTTATACAAGTGGCTGTAACCACTTTCAATGCTCAGATAAACCCATTAGATCAAACTTGAAAAAACAACAAAAAAACTGTTGTTGAAAAGCTGCAGGTGTGTGTCAGTGAAAATAAAAATACCCGTGGTGGGTAGAGCACAGATAGCCCATTGTGTAGCTTTGTGCTTAACTTCAAACAAACAAACAAGCTGTCTGACAACGCTAAAATCGGAGGTTTGATTCTATATTGTGTGGCTTTGAGTTAAAACAACAAGAACAAAACCTGCAAGGAAAACTGACTTTGCTGCATCTTATTAAAACTAAGCAATAAAATGTATATTACGAATAAAGACTTGTAAGAAATACCTTTACGACCTCCTAGAATCAGCGATCTTAATCTTTAATACTTGTAGATAAATATTCAAGATTAGCAACTACTGGTTATAGTGAAAGTCAGATTACTACGCAGTTTATGAATTGTTCATTTTTTATACTTAATCAGCTTATGTTAAGATCATCGCAGTTTATCGTACGTATAGTTTTATCAGTTTCTTATTGTTTAGTTGTAGCTGTGTTATAATGTGCTTATTCGCACTTACGGGTCTCATGTCGAAAGGAAACTGGCAGAAAGCGTTTTCAAATAAAATATAATTTTCTGCCTCTTTAAAACGTTAATTTCAATAATAGGTAAGTTTGGTTTTTATCAATATTAATTTTCTATAAATAATGAATGTAATAACAATGATACCATATCAGAAACACAAATTACTTTTTTTAAATAATTTTAATTGTTCTTGAAAGTTCTAAAATTGTGAATTTCTTTTTCATCATGCCAGAAGTTTCCACCTTCCAGTATTCCAGGATTCTATCATCATTATGAACACCACTGACGTTCTGCATAATGTTCCATTACTCATTCACGGAAAAATCATGTTTGCCTAGACACTTCATGTGGTCCTGTCTGAGAGTGTTTATGCAGACGAGTGGCTGACTAGAACTACAGGACAGAGGAATCTGTTGTTGTTGTTGTTTTTTTTTTGTATAGTAATGGACGAAACTGTTAGTAGACGCTTTAAGTACTTACATAAACAGAGACTGATTAAATCTCGAAAGTGTTGATAAGCACTGTTTATCGATAATAATTGTTTCTCCTGTATACCTGAACTATAACGTTCACAAGTAACAAGCTTAGATAACGTGTGGCTCCTCAAACAAGTTCAAAAGCATAAACTTAATCCAGGGGTCTAGAAGGGAATATACGATAAGACTGTTTGTGAGAGTTCGGTCACTGAAGTGCCTTTCTTTGTACATCAGAATTATACATCGTGCTGAGGAAAAGGACAAAGTTCTCAGCCCTGCAATCATAAACTTACACGTGTACTGTAGCTACGTGTAGTATCAGCTGCATGTTTACACTGGGTGATCATATCGATAATTTGACTGATTATCATTTTAACTATAAAAAAATTAAACTAAAAAACAGACATCGTTTATTAATATGAGACAAAACTCTGTGCTATTTTTGTAGGTCTGAAGTGCTCTCTTTATAAAATATGAATAATCAAAACGATAATGGAATTTCAATAGTCAAGAGGATTATGTAATGTCAACAACCCGTGTTAGAGCACTTCCCAAATTATATAATATCAACAACCCGTGTTAAAGCTATATAATCTAGTAAGTGCTTTAAAATAGTTTGTTGACATTATATAATCTGGTAAGTGTGTCAATAACCAGATTAGAGCACTTTCCAAAGGGGAATTTGCGTTCACTATGTTAATAAAATACCTGTTTTATTGTTCATACCTGTACTAAGTTGGTTTTCAATACGATTATGGGTTTGTTGGCGATACTTGGATACTTCGTTTAGTTACAATATACAAGGTGATTGGTGGGAGATTTTTAACTGGCTTGGTTAAAACCAAGGTAGTAGATTACTTTATACTCAAATTGATTAAAGTAAATTTTAGTTTTGAGTAAAGACTAGCGATGTTTTGAATAAACAGTATATTTCTGACAAAATAGAAAGGTTCACTGTTTCATACATCACTAAAAATGCTAATGTGATTGTTGTGGTATATACGGAACTTAATTCTTAGACTACGATACCTCAAGTGTGATTGTTCATCGACTTTGATGTCCCATTATTCTCTGATAGACATTGTCTTTCACATTATTTGTATTTCGCACAAAATTTGAACAATAAATGATATAATATGATATGATATCTATATATATATATATATATAAATATAATAATACTGTCTGTTTTATGTCCATGTAACTAATTCACTACGTTTCGATGGATCTACATCTAAATTGGTATGGAGGTTTATTACGTCCATGCGGGGGGTACATATAAATTTTCAGTTTTGCATTTTGCGTTTTGCGGTTTTTATGGGCGTCTTTGTGTTTTTTTACAATTACATATAAGAGAAGCAACTTTTCATATCCTAAGATAACCTTTCATTAATTATGAATTTACATAACTTCCCTCCAGGGGACGGGTACTCCAGCTAGTATATATATATTACAATTATTAGAGAAGACGGAGATGTTTCATCTTTCTTTGATTATGGAGCGAGAAAAGTAAGAACTCAAAAATAGTATTTGCACTTTCACATGTACTTCTAAGATTATCCTGGTTTAAAACCTTAAGATGAATAAGTTTGGAAGTTAAATATGATGTTTTGGTAGCCAATATGAGAAAACAAAATCATATTTTAGCTGTAACCATTACCTGATAAATTGTATTAGTGAACACACTCATTGTTCCATAAATATAATGTATATTTTCAATAGGTTAAACGTGATCTAAGTGTATTTTATCTTAATCAATAATCTTAAAGATTAGTCAGACTATTTTCACCGCTTTAGGTGAGATAAGAATTATAGGTTCAAAACTTTGGGAGTTGTTTGTAAGTTATAAGAACCCATGAGTGAATGCAAAGTATAATATGTCAACCACACCACATCCGCCACATGCGTTTTCCACGATACTTTTTGCCGAATACTAGGGCTCATCAAGGAGGTTGGGATGCGTCAAACGTAATTGTGTTCTCGGCGCTATATATATATATAAAACACCTAGAACATTATTGGACCTGGCATGGCCTGGTGAGTGCGCTCGACTCGCAATCTTCGGGTTCGAATCCTCGTCATACCAAATATGCTAGACCTTTCATCGGTGAGGGCATTATATTGTGATGGTCAATCCCACTATTCGTTGGTTAAAGAGTAGAAAGAGTTGGCAGTGGGTGATGTTGACTAGCTGCATTCCCTCTAATCTATCACTGCTAAGTTACGACGTTTAGCGCAGCTATCATCATTTTTATGAACAACAACTATTATGATGTGAACCAAGTTAAGCAAGTGAATTATAATTATTATCAATTTTATTTAAGTGATTTTACAAATCAGATGTTTACGGTAAGAATTCATAACAAAACCTTATTTATATATGTTTAATTTTAACAACGATTAATTACTTATTTATATTAATTATTATTATTTTCTGTTAGATCAAGACTTGCAATTACTATTTGTTTTTAAAGTATTCCATTATCTAACTTTTTGTTAGTTCTACAGTAAGCTAATTATTGATTCAAAAATCAGTTTTAAAGTCTTCGCTTACATTAACTTTTAGAAACAAATAATTATAACAGAATGATTGAAAAATATAAAGCTATAAAGACAATGACATTTTCCCCACTTTTTTATTTCATTCAGTATTTATTTATTTTTACGTTTTCTGGCTGATAAAGCATTAAAAAAGAGGTTTTCAATAAAATATAATGATTTAGCTGTACGATGAAGAATACTTTACATTACTCTAATTACATTTCTTGATAACTCTCAGAAGTTTTCCACTTGAGGAACACTTGAAAATGTAAGAGAAACTGTTTATACGATACCGAAATACTTCTTTCATAGAATGACTTGAAACTCCTGGCAATAGCATTTTTCTATTGTTTTATTATTATTATTATTACTTACTTTCAAGGTGCTTAAAACTTAAGATCAACATATTTTAATTAAAGCATGAAAATCTAAAGATTACTTGTCAGTGAAATCCGCGGTACATATTTAAATAAAATCTTGACTCATATTTAAAGGAAAAAGCTATTACATTAAAGTAATTAGAAGTACAGATTACTGATGTTAGTAAAATCACTTAAATATAAGAGTTACTTATTTTTCTATAGCCACTCAACAATGAAGGTTACTGATTTTGGTACAGTAATTCAAAAAAAAATGTAATAGTTTTGTAAACTCGTTCAAATGATTTTATATTCTTCTGAGACCATATAAACTGGCAAAAATTTAAAAAAAAAGAATAATTATCATGTTTGAAAATGACCGAAAAGTGATGAATTTTGATGATACATGTTAACAATTTATGTTATACTGTTAGTATGACATCCAATGCACCAAACAAAACAAATAAGATTAAAACAGTCAGTATTCGAGCTGTAACTTTATGGTAATAGAGACTTGAAATGCCATTCTAGGGTTAACAAACTGTCACGATAAATTTTGTGGAAGATATATAAAGACATCAAGGCTCCATGAAAGCAATCAAAGCAAATATGACAGATATGAAAGTATAATATTATGATCAATTATGCAAGAAACACAAGAATAACAAAATCAATATGACCCCTACACTGAAAAAGAACAAAATGTTATTTTTTTGTTTAGAACTTTAGAGCACATTGGACTATCTGCTGTATCCACCGCGGGGAATCGAGCCCCGGCATTTAGCGTTGTAAGTCCGTAGACTTTCCGCTGGAGGACCACACTGAAGAAGAAATAGAAGCAATTCAAAAGCAATATGACCCCTACACAGGAGAATAAAATATGTTTATATACATCAAAACAATCAACCTGATTTCATATAGGAATCATTCTCATGATTATTTTTATCATTTTTTAAAGAAACTTTAGAACTCACCATTAAAATAGAAATAAAATAAAAGTACTAAAAATAATTATGATAATATATGATAGGCATGTAAAGCAAGTTATCGCGTTATGATAACGTACTGATGTTCATTTTCTCTTTCTGGAGATTAATTTACACTTGCTACAGTCGAAAATGTATATTATTCGAATAATCAACACGCTCTTTTAAAAATATATATATTTCTTATTAGCACAAACGTTAGATGACATGTAGTTGACGTAAAGAAATCAATGAACAATCTAGTCTTCGTAATTCCATATTAGGTACAAAGGTGTAGACTGACTTTCACATTGGAGGGGGGGAAATGGGGATTAATAGGTACCATGAAGAGTCTTCCCTTACGGACTTATCAACTTTTGGTGATACGTTGACAGTTTAGGGGCAATGCACCCACTTGCCACTCCCTAATCTCCGCTCGTGATTGGATAGACTCGATAATCACAAAATGGGTTCTTGAGCTATAAAAAAGTCAGAGAAATCACTAGTTTGTAACTTTATGTATTCAATCTTTTTTAAATAATTACACTGTCTTAATTTTACAAACATTTCTCAGCTTATACGAATTAAACCAGCATAACTTCATCTATTTTCTTCAAATACTTTTTTTTTCTTACAGTAAGAAAACGACAAAAAATATCAGTATCCTATATGCTGGATTTTTCTTATTCTACACAAATAAGTTTTCTATTGCGTAAGCTTTTTAATATCAAAGCTTTGAGGTTTCTGGATGTGTTTAATATCTCAGACTAAGTATCAATAATTTGGAATAAGAATAAATTTCCCTCGATTTATGTTTAAACATTTATAGGTGGCATCATACAATAGATGGGTGGATGTTTTTATCATTCAAATGCATGTAATGAAGTCAATGTATACGTACCTTTTTCACAAAATTATAGATCACATCTTCAGAGGGCAAAAATATACTCTTATTGCAATAGCTCTGACTAATTTAACAAATCATCAGTTTAGGAAATATATATGTCTAAATTTCTTTAATTTCATACGTTCACTTGACGTCATTTCTAGTTTATACAGAGCCACATGGCCTAGTTTAAAAAAGTATAATGAAATACTTATGTGCTTCCGAAGTCAATATTTGTTGGTCACATATAAATGTATGTTTAACTTAACGAACTGCATCCTTTTGAGTTACCCTTTTACAGGCATCTTCAGTTAGGCATGCAACTATACGTGTAAGTACATATTATCTTTCATTTCCTTAGTTTATATGATATGAAATAGCAGGTAAGTATATATTAGAAATATACATTTTAAGGTAATTAATGCACATGCAAGCCTTTACGTAACCCTTGTGGTTGTTAGTAAGTATATGGTATATGTAAGTACATAATTTAGCAGAACCCAGATTGTTTCTTGTCGATAGAAGTGGTTTCACTATAAAATGAATACAAAGTAAATAAACGTCTCTGATATTCTTATCTTCTCGTCTCCATCTCAAAATGTATGGAGCTAATGAACGTGTGATGTGTCTTGAAAGTTGGGGATACTGAGACAACGGTAGGTTAAAATGGATAAGTTTGTTTGTAGTTAAAGTACAAAGTACATAACGGGCTAGCTGTGTTGTGCACACCATATCTATCGAAACTCGGTTTTTAGTGCTATAAAAACAAAATAACATAATTACTTAATGGGTGAATTGGTATGCAAGAGTTCAAATTGAAAAAAAAAATCTCATAGATAAAACTACAGAAGAGGAAGAATCCGTTTTTAAAACCATATACTTTGAAGTGGATTTATTTAAAAGATCTCAATAAGATAAATGACTTTTTCATAATCAGACACGTGATAACATGATTGCAGCAACCAAACTAGCATAATTGTTTAAAGTTTGACGTGCTATTAAAATTATCAACTCTATCAAAACTTTAATTATGAATATATTTTGATAATATAACACTTGAAACTGTTTAAAAAAACAACAACAGAGGGTGTTGATAAGAAAATTAAGTTTGGGTTTAATGACAAATTGATGACATTAAGGAAGTGAAATCAACTGTTGTGATAGAATGCGATAGTTAGGTAGATATTTGAATTACTTATGTTAGGGTTGTTGCAACTGGATACCAACTGTTATAGTGGTTGGTATAAGATATGTAAGGCTCTTTAATGACACTTCATATTTTATCTGCCAACTTTAGCAACTTTTCTATTATCTTTGAGTTTGAGTGGTGTTTCAACTAACAGCTTTTCTTTAGTTTGTAACTGAAATAAAATCGTAATTTACAATGCATATTAATGATCAGTTGTCTTAAATGTTACAGAATATCATTCCTTATCAGCTTAGTTAAGTAAACATATATATCTCTATTCTGTGTACATGTGACGTTCTCTCACCAGCTAAGTTAACTCAACATTTATATCTCTATTCTGTGTGCGGGTGACGTTCTCTCATCAGCTTAGTTAAGTAAACATATATATCTCTATTCTGTGTACATGTGACGTTCTCTCATCAGCTTACTTAAGTCAACATTTATATCTCTATTCTGTGTACGGGTGACGTTCTCTCACCAGCTAAGTTAAGTCAATTACATATCTCTATTCTGTGTATTAAGCTGATGAGAGAACGTCACCCGTACACAGAATAGATATATAAATGTTGACTTAAGTAAGCTGATGAGAGAACGTCACATGTACACAGAATAGAGATATGTAATTGACTTAACTTAGCTGGTGAGAGAACGTCACCCGTACACAGAATAGAGATATGTAATTGACTTAACTTAGCTGGTGAGAGAACGTCACCCTTTAACTCAACATTTATATCTCTATTCTGTGTGCGGGTGACGTTCTCTCATCAGCTCATTTAAGTCAACATTTATATATCTATTCTGTGTACGGGTGACGTTCTCTCATCAGCTTATTTAACTCAACATTTATATCTCTATTCTGTGTGCGGGTGACGTTCTCTCATCATCTTATTTAAGTGAACATTTATATCTCTATTCTGTGTACATGTGACGTTCTCACTCTCCAGCTCGGTTAAGTCAATTATATCTCTATTCTCCGTATTGGCGACGTTCTCTCACCAGCTCGGTTAAGTCAATCATATCTCCATTCTGTGTATGGGTGACGTTCTCCCATTAGCTCAGTTAAGTCAACATTTATATATCTATTCTGTGTACGGATGACGTTCTCTCATCAGCTCATTTAAGTCAACATTTATATCTTTATTCTGTGTACATGTGACGTTCTCTCATCAGCTCAGTTAAGTCAACATTTATATCTCTATTCTGTATACAGCTAGAATGAGCTACCAGATTACGAAGAGTCAGACGTTATGATAATATTGTCAAGTCATTGCTACAGATTTTCTTATTGTCTTGATTAGATTTTACTTATATTAATGTGTTTTTGTTGGGTTTTTCCCTGACTTACAGCGATCAATCGAAACTGAAACTTCTCGCCTTCACTCACGTCTTAATAGAACAATTTTAATATTTACAGGCTAGTGATAAAAATATTGAAGTATTGAACGGGGAATTCTTTAATGTATTATTTGGTCACATCAATGTTTTCGCACAAAGCCACACAACCGCAAATTAAAGTTTTTTATTTGTCAATAGTTACATACATGAATTACACTACATCATTATTTATTAAAAACGCTCTTTCCTAATTTATAACAGACTAGGGAGAAGATAACTAGTAGACAACACCCACTGCCAACTCCTGGGCTGTTCTTATCTGATCGAATAGTGGGATTTGACTGTCGTCTCGTGGAGCTTTCACGTCCCCAAAGTGCTGAGCACATTTTAGCGGTGACGGGACGCGAGCCTAGAGCCATCGGATTCACACTTCCTGCACGCTGACCACCAAACTACACCAGGTCCCGTTTTTAACGATACTTTTACATTTAATATAACACCAAAATATGTAGAAGTATTGTGTAATAATTTCAACAGCTATGTTTGGCTTCAAATACGATGTTTGAAGGCTTTATTTCTAATTGTTACTTTGTCAATGCTGTTTAGTCAGAGTAACTTTTTATGACGTTTACTGAATAACAGCTGGTTCTGTTTAATTAATCTTTATTAACTTCTGAATAAGCTATTTATCGTTATCAGGAAAAAATCTAACCCAGGGATTCTCTACTTTTTCTGGCTCCTTAACCAGGATTCTGCTAATCAAATATTCTGAGCATATAATATTTATCCTATTTCAGAGAAAGCGTAAGGTCTCGTGCTACTTAATTACTGGTAAGCCATTCAGTTGTTTACGTTTTAGCTGTGAGATGGTTGGGTGCCATGGGGAAAAAGAACATGTGAAAATAAACTTTGTTATTTCTTGATATTGAATGTAGTAATAACGAATATTAAAAATCCTAAACAATATTAAATAATTTTAAAATATTAAAAGGCCTATTCAGTATTTACGACAATATAAATAAAATAATATACACAAAAAAAGGAGTTAATTAATTATATTTTATAACTGTAGTTTATTTCATTTTAACTTTCAACAACTCACATTTATTTTAATATTGATTACTGACAAATGTGGAAAACAAATTTTTAACTGTTCTTGTTTTTTAAAGAAGTACAGTAGCTAGTGCAGACTTAAAAACATTTCATCTCATAATTATACTCAAAACCTTGAAAATAAAAGAAAAAATATGATGTGTACAAGTACACTTTCATTCTAAAAATCGTTATGCCATTAGTTATGTGCGTCTGCGCTCTTCATGTGCCATGTTATCATTGCTACTATATCATTGAATAAAATACTTTCACAAGTTTATAGACTAGGCAATTGTGGTTTTGGTTCTTAACATTACGAAATGCTTGAATACAGAAGTTTGAGTACTTTATATTAAAAGTATCTAGAATATGCATATCAGTAAGTCACGTGACAAGCACAGCCGATATAAAATCGCAGTGGAACGGATGCATCAGAACTACATTTTTGATATTAGGTAAGTAGTGTGATGCCACAGAAAATCGATCGCTTTTGGTAATAATATGTTACAGCTCTTTGTGACACAAAACGCTCACGCACTAAGATAATAAAGATATGTTCTGATCGAGTATTTCGAATTTACAAGCCGTGGATGTCCGTTTCAATTAATGGCATTGGAAATTAAAAATATATGGATCAACTTGGAGCACCAGGACCATCCAGGACAAGATCTGGAACAAGTTGTATCCAAGCCGTGGTAAGCAAAGTGTAACGTCTTATGACAGGTGAGAAGAATCCATGAATACATAGGTCAAGGGAAAAAATAGTCGTCTACGTGCCCCAAGCAACAGTACCCAACATACTCAAGAAGGATCGCCGTCTAGAATAACGACACAAGTCACGTATAAACAAGTTGATTCGAGAATGTATTCATTCAACCATCACATACCACAAGCAGTTAAAAAATGGAATGGATCTTTCTGCTTTTCCATACGAAGGTATAAAAAATAGCCGTCTACGTGCCCCAAGCAACAGTACC